AAAAGATGGAGAACTAACTAGAAAAGAAAACGGAAATTAAAGGAAATAAATGATGTTTATATAATTGCAAATAAAAATTAAAATGTGTAGTTGCAAATAAAAATTAAGGTTAGTATATGTGCAAATAAAATTAATCTTGATGGTGGATGAAGTAATTTTCTAAAATAAAAAAGAGGAATTTGCACCACATACTATCCTATAATAATTATATTACATATTTAACACCAACTAATTTTTTTTGAAATTTGCAACTTCAACACTAAAATATTTCACGTATACCAATTTTTTAATGGTTGAAGTCAATCTGTCAAATTATGGAATGTTTTAATTAATTATTTTCTACTTAGTTATTGGAACAAAACCGCCCACGATATCTCCCAAATCGAATATTATCATCCCAAAACATTGTCCATCATCTCTATGCAAAACCGCACCGCCCACATTATCCATGGAATCCCAACATTACGAACAAAGGGAGGCGGAAACAATCTTCAAAAGTGCCAGGTCAATTGCATCGAACGAAGCTTTTTTCAGTCACCCCACGGAGCGGTATGAAGAGCGAAAGGAGAAGTTCCAGGAAAGGCAGAAAACTAGGAAGATGGCAAGGAATTGAACTAGGTACCAGGGATTCGATACTTATTGGCATCTTCCCTTGGTCTTCGCGGGAAATCGTCGCCGATACTCTGTGGGGCTATGGCAGTGCCCTTTCTGTTCTAGTAAACTCCCCTTTCAATGAGGGAGACAATCAAATTTTGGTTGGAATATCTTGTTGAGGTGAGGGTAAACCCTAGCCACCAATTCATCCCCTTATTTCTTGTCGTCTCTGCAGAGGTCGTGGAGGCGCGCGACGGAGTTAAGGAGGGAGGAATCGGAGGCGGGGTCGGTGGCATCCCTGGCGGCTGAGGATAACGATTGGAGATGGATTTCCCATTGTCTTTCTCCGTTAGTCATTTTTTGCTTTTCGTTTTGGAATAATTTTATGATGTCCTCAATTTCCGCCGGCGTTCTCATCAAGGGTTGCGACATCGCCATGGTTGGGGGTGATGGTTGGTTGGTTGCAGGAAAATCGATGTTTGGTTCGATTTTTTAGGGTTTACTTACAGTTTTCCAAGAAGGGTGATGATGGTGATGGAGCATAGTTTCATTATACAAATTAGTTTATGATCAGTATATGTACATCTTAGGAATATGTACAGTTATTGTACATCTTAGTTTATGTTTGGTATATTAGTTTATGTACAATATATTTGTGAACGGATGTTTGTTTTTTCTGTTTTCAATGTTTATTCATAGTTATCTTTGGTATATTAGAAGATTTTTTTGTTGTTCTTTGTTGTTTTGGTACATTATAAGAGTATTGCAACATTTACTGAATATATGTAACTTATTATAACTTGTTAT